GTGGCGGCCCCTGCCAGCCACGCACGCGCACACAGTGCATTGTTCCTGGCATGCGCGCGCGCGCGCGCACACACTGTGCGTGCCTGGCAGCCGCGCGCGCATGCCCACACACTGTGCGTGTGTGTGTGCGCGCGCGCGCGCGGCTGCCAGGCACGCACAGTGTGTGCGCGCGCGCGCGCGGCTGCCAGGCACGCACAGTGTGTGCGCGCGCGCGCGCGGCTGCCAGGCACGCACAGTGTGTGCGCGCGCGCGCGCGGCTGCCAGGCACGCACAGTGTGTGCGCGCGCGCGCGCGGCTGCCAGGCACGCACAGTGTGTGCGCGCGCGCGCGCGGCTGCCAGGCACGCACAGTGTGTGCGCGCGCGCGCGCGGCTGCCAGGCACGCACAGTGTGTGCGCGCGCGCGCGCGGCTGCCAGGCACGCACAGTGTGTGCGCGCGCGCGCGCGGCTGCCAGGCACGCACAGTGTGTGGGTGCCTGTCAGCCACACGCGCGCGCACACGCACAGTGCATGGTTCCCAGCATGCGCGCGCACGCACACACACAGTGTGCGTGCCTGCCAGCCGCGCGCACACACACACTGTGCGCGCCTCCCGGCCTGCGCACGCACGCGCGCACACACACACACACTGTGCGCACCTCCCGGCCTGCGCATGCACGCACGCGCACACACAAAAACACACTGTGGCGCGCCTCCCGGCCTGCGCGCGCACAGGCACACACACAAACACACTGTGCGCGCCTCCCGGCCTGCGCACGCACGCGCGCGCACACACACACTGTGCGGGCCTGGCAGCTGCACGCACACACACTGTTCGTGCCTGCCAGCCACGCACGCGCACACAGTGCATTGTTCCTGGCATGCGCGCGCGCGCACACACACACTGTGCGGGCCTGGCAGCTGCACGCACACACACTGTTCGTGCCTGCCAGCCACGCACGCGCACACAGTGCATTGTTCCTGGCATGCGCGCGCGCGCACACACACACTGTGCGGGCCTGGCAGCTGCACGCACACACACTGTTCGTGCCTGCCAGCCACGCACGCGCACACAGTGCATTGTTCCTGGCATGCGCGCGCGCGCACACACACACTGTGCGGGCCTGGCAGCTGCACGCACACACACTGTTCGTGCCTGCCAGCCACGCACGCGCACACAGTGCATTGTTCCTGGCATGCGCGCGCGCGCACACACACACTGTGCGGGCCTGGCAGCTGCACGCACACACACTGTTCGTGCCTGCCAGCCACGCACGCGCACACAGTGCATTGTTCCTGGCATGCGCGCGCGCGCACACACACACTGTGCGGGCCTGGCAGCTGCACGCACACACACTGTTCGTGCCTGCCAGCCACGCACGCGCACACAGTGCATTGTTCCTGGCATGCGCGCGCGCGCACACACACACTGTGCGGGCCTGGCAGCTGCACGCACACACACTGTTCGTGCCTGCCAGCCACGCACGCGCACACAGTGCATTGTTCCTGGCATGCGCGCGCGCGCACACACACACTGTGCGGGCCTGGCAGCTGCACGCACACACACTGTTCGTGCCTGCCAGCCACGCACGCGCACACAGTGCATTGTTCCTGGCATGCGCGCGCGCGCACACACACACTGTGCGGGCCTGGCAGCTGCACGCACACACACTGTTCGTGCCTGCCAGCCACGCGCGCGCACAGATACAGACAGAATGCTTGCCTGGCTGCGCGCGCACCCCTCCCACTCCCGTTGTGCTTCCCTGCCGGGATGCGCGCGCGTGCACACACACTGTGCTTGCCTCCCCAGAGACAGATGCGCAGACACACACACGCTGTGCGT